CAACCAATAAGAATGCAATATATATATATTTATTTAACCATTATAACGGAATCCAGCCTAACTCTGTTATTAATTTCGTTATATAGGTATATAGGTCTTATAACGAATATGCTATATAACGGAATTTTTTGGTCAGCCTAGATTTCCGTTATATCCATAGTTAACAGTATATTATTGTTAAAAAAATAAAAATAGAAAATCTCGTATAACCATGATGGAAATAGTAGCTCCCTTATTATAAACCATCTTTGAAATTTCTTAAAAAGAATCTTCAAATGCTACCCAAAAAATAAATCAATAGCTTTTTTGCCATACAGTATAAAATTTATCAATAACAATAAATACTGTATTCATACATGTCAAGTACCTTGATCATCTAATTGGTTATTTGGTTTTGAATAGCCAGACCATTTGACCAGACCAGTTTAACTGGAAACCTTTTGACCAATAACCAGTTAACTTATAGTCGATTACTGATTTGACCAACACTGGTAATTATGTACGCATAAATATCGCAGTCATCACATCGCACAGAAATGCTTTTAAATCGCATAATCTGGGGTCTCTAACTCGAGTCGACTGACTAATTGACTAAAAGTTTCTGACCTTATTGTGCACATCTACTTTTTATAATTGTGCGCAAAAATATTATAAAGGTGCAACTGCGCACAGTTATTTGCCGCACAAAATGAAGTTGGCATCCGCGTAAATTCTAATTGAGAAATAAACACTGCTTTGGACTATTATAGAGTAAAATCTAATAACGATGTTCGGACCAATCAAGTCGACCCTAAAATTTGTTCATGCATTTTATATAAACCCAATTCTCAAAAAAAAAACAAAAAACAAACTGTTATTATAACTTTTGATATAAGGCCATGACTCACTACTATGAACTTTACCGTAGAAGCAGGTTAGTATTTATATTTATTTTATTTATTTATTTACTTTTTGAATATTTAAAATTCTCTAATTCACTTTTGCATGTCCCAAAGCATTGGAATGGCTTTAACTGATTCGCTTGATGAGTTGATTCAAACAAGCCATATTGATCCACAATTGGCGATGAAGGTTCTTCTACAAGTACGTATACTTATTTTGTGATTTATTATTTACTATTAGGTTTAGACTTAGAAAACCATGTTTACAAGAAAAACACTTTCAAATTAATTATGTTCATACGTATAATCAAGTTTGATAAAAGCATTACTGAAGCTTTAGAGACGAAAGTTAGAACAAAAGCAACATTTAAGGTAATACTTTTTTTATTATGATAATGAATCATATTTATCTTTTGATTTTAACTTTTATTAGGCAGGGCATCTTCACACGTATCGATTCTGTGACGAAGTATGGACGTTCATTATCAAGAATCCAAATTTCAAATTAGAAAATGAACAAGTTCATGTTGATAAAATCAAAATTGTAGCATGTAATGCAAAAAAGCCTGGGGAAGCTGAGCCAACAAAAAAACTAAGACTTGCTGCAAACTTTTATTTGCGTGATTTTTTTGACATTGCTTATTTTTTCCACTCTTTTATTGCAAATGGTTTATACCATCTAAAAAAGCAACTATGACGTATTCGATTTGATTGGAAGATTAAAAGTAAATATTACATTCCTATAAATAGTATTCACGGCATTCTTTATTTTTATATAGTCGACTCATCAAAAAAACAGGCTAATAATTTCTAATAAAGTTGTCTCAAATGTCTTATCGTCTATATGTATATACAAATGAGCCACATCTAAAACCCTTTATCATGACCACCTTGCTCATAAAAGTAGTTTAGCTTGGCAACAATTCGTTCAAGAGCAGTTAACCAACGTTCATATTGTTCATTAACCCTTGCTTGATCATCACCAAGTTTTTTGAAAAATTCAACGCGATACGGGCAGGCTTTCATAGCAAGCTTTTAAAATAAAGAATATATTAGGCAAGTATTGGTCAAAGAAACTTATTAATGACTATTAAACGTACCGCGAACACGGGGCGAACCAAATAATTGTGGAATGGTTTCAAAGTAACACCGTATGCATTTGTAAAGGAAACAGAAAGTTCTTCTGTTGTCTCGTTAATCGAACGACGTAAAGCTACAGAAGTAAATTCTAATCCTCTGTATTATAAATGGAACATGCCACATGAGATCAAACAGAACATATTCGAATTCAGAGATAAAAAAAATAATTGTTCCATACCTTTTTAGCCACAATAAACCTTCAGTAGCTATACGTTTCTTTTCTTTTTGTTCGCTAATAACCAAATTTTCAAGAGTATTATTTCTTATACGATCAGACTCATAACGTGCTCTAATTTTCTATTTAAAGATATACGAGATGTAAAAGGTGGATGAAAGCTGTTACGTTGTATACTACTGAACTTACATTCACATTACCGGACATGTCCTTTTGAACGATATTAAAAGCCGAACTTCCAAGCAAATCTAACCCAGTAATTGAAATCGAATGTACAATGAATAAATTATTTCATATGAATAAGCTTTCAAAACCACTTACCAAACATCTTAATTAGCCCTTCAGTAGCTTCCAAAAAAGTAGCCGTGTCTGTACCCTCTTCAGTTATGGGTACATCGCAAAAGTCTCTTTTAACGGTGTCAAAGTAAGTTATACTTGTCATAATGTGTGTTTAGTAAGCGGAGATTTCGTTGTATATATTATAGAGGAAATTATAAAAAAGGGGATGAGTCTGAGGCTTGTTAGTTTACGTGTTAAATAAATATATATAAAATAGTAGGCTAACGTAAAAGAGGTACATGCATAACCGTAGGACCGGTTGTTGCTTAGAACCAATCTTTCAAATACTGAAATAGCAAAATTATATGAGAGAGGCTATTATATGATCTGTTTTTTTGGATTTTTTTTTGTTTGTATACTATACAGTGCATCTAGATTTTTTATTAAATTAAGTACAAAATATTTGTGTACCGGGTTAGTACTGTTACACCTGAAACTACCTCTTATAAGTTGTCTTTAGTGACGGATATGTTAGACAATAAAATGTAAAGGTTACTGCGGGTAAGCTTTATATTCAATGATGTACTCGTGGAACACGATTACTCTTTATTGTTGAGTTTTGAAGTATAGAACTGTTTTTTCTACAAGAGCAATATTTGAGACTATTTATATATCTTGATCTTTTACTATTATTTCTATTACACTGTTTAGCACTAATATTCCAAGCATTTAATAAAACCATTAATGGTAAATCATAATTAGTTGCAAAATAATTTTAGATAGTAACTATAAAATATATTATTAATAAAATTTTTTTATTTTTTAATTAATAAAAAAATTTTATAATATTATAAATAAAATTATTTATCTATTATAGTAAATTTTTGAACTATTATATAGGGTTAAGTCAATAGAAATCAAGCAAATTTTTTCTAAGTAAATTTTTTTAAAACTTTAAATAACAATAACTTAACAATAACTTAATCAAATTTAATAATTTTTTTTTTAAATGAGTTTTACAAACTTATAGAATTAGCATTTAAAGTTGTTAAAAAAAATTAATAAAATCAATTTGTTTAATTTTTACTGATTTATTTGAAAAAACCAAAATAAAAAGATAATACAGATTTTTTAATAGTATTACTGTAAAGGCTAAATTTAGAAAATAGATACCAATATAAAAGAATTAGGTAAGCAAAAATCTCAGCTAAGAAATATCACCAATCAGACTATTAGAAATCTTAAATTGGAGAAAAAGAACATTAAATATTGTAACCTTAGTATATTAGAAACAGATTACAGTTCTTTCAAGCTATTTAAATTAGAAGTTTGATGACAAAAGCAAAAGTATATTATAAATATTAGTAATATGCTATAAAGTAGATACTAGGATTTGAGTAAACTCTACAAGTATAAGTCTTGTTAACAAAAATTAAATATAGGTAATTAGTTAGCAAAAAGGTCATACAGTTAGATGATATACTCTAAAATATGTAATAGTTTAATAGATGTATAAATAGAAAGGTCAAAATTAGGTTAAAAGACACTTAAATATATAGAAACTTGTATGCTATCTGTTAAATATAGTATAAAGATTGGAAAATTTAATTAAATAATCTTCTAGCAGATTACAAGTATGGCAGTTAATGTAAAATCTATAAGTAAACTATTTAAATAAATAGCTAAAAGCTGTATGTATAACTAGTTGCATACTTACTTTGTACAAGTTATGTAATTATAATAAATTACAATAAAGGCAGTAGTTGCCAATAACCAACAACCTTAACAAAAACAAACAAAAAATTTGACACTATATAAGACTAATTTTAGCTATTTAAATGTTATAATTACTTTTATATTAAATTATTTATTTTAATAAAAAAATAATTATAGTATTTAAATAGGCAAAGTTAGTTTTATATAATGCTAAAATTAATTTTTATATTTGCTAAAATTATTTTTGAAAATTTCAAATTCTTTATTAAAATACATTATATAGAATAGTTATTTTAGTAAGTTTTATAAAAAAAATTTAGCAATTCTGAAATGTTTGCTAAAAATACTTTTTTTTAAAATAATTTTAACATATATATATATTTGAAATATAATAATAATAGATTAGAAGAAAAATATTGATAATTTTGAATATAATAATTATAAGTTAGAAGAAAAAATATTATTATTATTAAATTAAAAATAAGAAAAAATATCATATATAATTCTTACTATTTTGCTATTAATTTGTTAATAGTATTAGATATCATTTCTTTAATATTTACTAATATTGTTTCTAATTTACTATACTATATACAGGTTGAACAAATGAATAAAGAGTGAATAATAGATAAATAACAAAAAAAAATCTGTCATTATTCTACCTTATATCTTCTAAATAATAGTAATATAATAGCAGAATAATAATAAAATAACAGAAAGGGTGTGGCGACCTAGTGAAGTAGTCAGGTTGTCAACCCTCCAAGTAGTAGATTGGGTATTCAAATCCTATTGATAGTGAAAATTTGAATAATCACCTATGTAATATTCGTATTATGACAACTGTTACTAATGATTTGGTTAGGATACCTGTAATAGTGGTCGCACCAGGATAACTGGCAGATCATGAGGCATTTGTGCAATATTGGAGTTACACAGAAGAATGAAAACTAATAAATCGAATAGTGCAAACACTAGATAAGTTCTTGTGGCTATATAAATCCATTGAAATTGGGTAACAAGAAGTCTATTTGGGAAGACCTGAATAAAGAGATAGCTAGATCTTTGACAGCCCTACTGTAAAGGCTAGCCTAGTGAAACAGATACCCAGGTCTAGTACCCAGTTCTAGTAGCTAAATGGGCAAGAACCTCTAAGTTGAGAGTCTCAGAGGTACCACCATCAGGCTGCCAGAACAAACTAAAGAAAAAAGATATCAGACCGACCTAATATACCGATGAACTAGTCGTAGTCCTACATGGGCTATCTGGATTGAAAGTTTGGTAAAAGAGCAGAAGAAAGAACAGGAATATACTAAAGTACCAGGATTATACTGTGAAGTAGATGCTGAAATCTTAGTGAACTCTATAAGAGCATAGTGGTTTAATGGTTAGCCCTGACTGCAAGTGTTGGTTCTGCTATAGTAATACCTAGATCAGCTATAAAAATAGGTACAGAAGGCTCTGAGGGGTTTACCTTGAAGATAAATTAGTTCTAAGGTTGAGGACAATAATCTGGTAAATCTGAGATAACCAGTGATGTTAACACAGGTTACAGGTTCAGAGAGTTTAAAGTGAAACACCTAAGCAGGAATGTTAGATATGGCAATTGGTAGGAAACTTTTAGACAGACTCCTTAAATAGGTAATATAGAAAATTTATACGTGTAGCCAATTGTATGCTCTCCTGTAGTGGTTCATTGAACCACAATACTAATAAGTGATTAATAAAAGTCAAAAGA